ATATATAGAGATATAAAAATATAGATATGTAGTAGTATTAGATATGAGTGGAATGGCAATATGTGTTATAACTGTGTTGTTAATAAGTTACTATTTGCATTTAAACAAACTCAATCTTTTACACTGACTATCATTGTCATAAGCCTCTTCGTCGTCACTATCGTTATTATTAATAAATGCCAATTATAGCCGTGGTTTGCACAATTAGGCGAAGAATAAATATCGCTAAGCTTTATTTTTTTCTTTTTATAGAATATCTTTAAGTTTTCTTTGCTGTTTTAAAATAATTTCAAATACGTTATGACAATTCGCGTGTTAAAGAATAAATTTGAAAGAGGAAGAATGTTTTAAGTATATTTAGAAGGATTAACAATGGCATATGGTATTACAAGATTTTAAGCATTTATCTTTTTTTTCTTGTTTAGTATAACATTTGCCTAGATTTCCATCTAAATCTAAACATTTGGTTGTTTTATTTTGTAATTATTATTTATTTTTCATTCTTGGTGTTTCGAACCTTGGCAGCTAGTCAGACTATGTGAAAAGAGTTTGCCAATTCTTGGAGATTAGACTTTATTGTGTACTTTTTATTGATAAATTTGATATATGTTATGCTTACTGGTAGAAGAGATAACAAAATAGATAACTATTGTTTTTGATTTTTGGATATAATTTTTTTTCTTGTTTTTTTTTTTGTAAAGGTTTATTATATACCTTCCACTTTTGTTTTTTTTTTCATTTATTCATAAAAAATGATTTTGATAGAAGACTAAGTGATAAGATTACGCAGAAAAAATGTAAATGTAAAGCTCCATCAATTGTAATATTTACAATATGGAAAATACGATCGATGTGTTATGATCTGTTTAGTTTTATTTTCTTTTTTTAATTCCTTGTATTTGAATAATGAATATAATTTCATAAATTTCCGCTTTAATAGTATATTACATACCTAGGGCAGTAAAGTAAGAAATGTCTTTCTTATTTATTGCCCATGGTGTGTATACTTTTTTTCTGCTCGACGTAGGCGGAAAGCGGCAACTTCGTTTTGCTCAGCAGGCGGAAAGTTGACATTTTCCGCACGGAGTGGTGAAAATAAAATTAAACTGATTAAATAATACATTATGACATACTAATTCATTGTAAAACATTATAATGATTCGTTCAATTTCATTGACTTTATTCTGCTGCTATATATGGACATATATATGATATAAAAGACTATAATATCTATAATATAATATCATATGATCATGACACAGTCGTACTTTTTCTAAAAACTATTAAAATTACAATCGATGAGTGTTATTATCTCTATTAATTAATTGTTATTCATTGTAAATTTTTGTTTTTGTTTTACAAACGATTTTACGATAAGATCAAAAACTCGAAGGACATTTAAACGAAATGTATCATTTTGATGAACATTTATTTTTTCATAATATGAACATCATTTTATCAAGATAAGAAAAATAAGAAAATATTCTTTTATATATTTCTTCGGTTCAAGTTGTCTACAAGCATAAATACATGCTATTCATATTTATGTTAATAATATTTATATTAATTATAAAGAGTAATAGACGAAAATGTTATACATTTGTAAAATTCATATTTTCCAAACTAATATGAAATAATTAAACGAATAAACACAAATATACGCAAACACACACACACACACAGACAGACAGACAGAATCAGGAGAACAGCAGAGATGAGTTTCGTTTTTATTTCCTTGTCGACCATTTCTGTAGCACATATAATTATTTAAAAAAAAAAAAAAAAAAAAAAAAAAAAAAAAAA